AATAGAATTCACAGATGTTACAAATATTAAATTTGGTTTTCATTTCATTCTTGGCCATCTCTAACTTGGGACAATCACAGTGCCTTGTGATTCGTCATCTTTGTATACTGTTGATATTTCTACGATACACCCGACTTCATATTTTTGGTTCTTGGCTAACAAAATTCACAATTCTTACTGCTATAATACTGTTTGTTTGAGAGGATGTTAGAATGTTTAATACACTAAATTACATAAGTGATACATATGGACATATGGTTTCAAAACATCGTAAGTGTAGTCCATATATATATATATATATATATATATATATATATATATATATATATATATATATATATATATACACAAATAGTCTTATGTGCCTTCAATTTCTTATGGTTTTGGTCTATGACCCATTTTAAAATGATATTTTTCTTTAATAAATTCAATATATTTTATTTATTTTTTAATTTGTATAAATATTAAAGTAAAAGGCCCACCACCATCTTCTCCTTTTTCCGTTATAAGGGTGACAATTGATGACAAGACACGAAACAAAATTGGTACGAAACTAAAATTTGAATTCATGTTCGTGTCGTGATCATGTCAAGTGTAAAGGAAACGACGTCGTATCGTATCGTGTTCGTGTTTAAAATTCGACACAAAATTGACAAGATTTAGCATTTGTTTGTCGTGTTTTTTGTGTCATGTATTAGACTTATAACTTAACAGAAGTTTATTTCTGTTAAATGTTCTGTTAGTTAGTAGTTAGTTGTGGCTCTGTTTAGATTCAATTAGGTTCATGTTAGATATAGAAGCGTAAATTAGTCTGTGTATATATGTTTTGTACAGTTCTTTCATTCAATCCAAGTAACAGATTTACTCTTTTCTCAAACTGTAAAATGGTATCAAAGCGTCTTCCGTTTTTGAAGATGATTCTCGTTTGAATCGTTTCTTTTGCAGATTCGATTCTCATTTGATTCAATCCTCTAATTTTCTTTGTGATTCATTACGATTACTCTGTGAATCGTTGATCTTTTCATTTTTCCCCTTTTTTGTTCTTCGATTTAACTCTCGTTTTTTTATCTGATCGATCATCATGGCTTCTAATGTCACAAATCGGATCAATACACAAGAAAATTCAGACGATCCTTATTTCATTCATCATTCTGATAGTCCAGGAACTATTCTCGTTTCTCAGATTCTTACTGGAGACAATTATAGTTCTTGGAGTCATGCTATGACGATCGCTCTATCAGTGAAGAATAAAATGGATTTCGTCGATGGAACTATTAATCAACCACCAGAAACTGATCTTGTTCGATTCAAATCCTTGTCCTGTAACAATAATATCATCATCTCATGGATTCTCAATTCAATTTCAAAAGAGATAGTAGCCTATGTGATATATCTCAAAACAGCAAAAGATATCTAGAAGGAGCTCAAAGATCGTTTCTAGCATGGCAATGGTCCCAGAATTTTTCAAATTAAGCGTGATATCATGAATATTACTCAAGGAGGAGACACTGTAAGCACATATTTCACCAAATTGAAAGTTCTATGGGAGGAATTGGCCAATTACAACATGCATTGTACCTGTGGTTTGTGCATTTGTGGTGGAGTTAAAGAAATTGAGCAAACTATGACTTTTCTGATGGAATTAAATGATGATTTCTCTCAAATTCGTGGTCAAATCTTGCTGATGGATCCTATTCCAAATGTTAATCGCATTTTTTCTCTAATCATTCAAGAAGAAAGACAGAGATCTGTAAGTAATACTCAGCTATCTCAATCTACTGTTGCTTTCAATGTTAGAGACGAAAATGGGGATTATAATAGGTCAAGATCTATTAATAACAATCAGTACAAAAGTTTCAAGTAGGCTCAACTGTACTGCACTTATTGCAAGAAATCTGGGCATACACAATAGGGATGAGATTTAGAACCGGAAAACCGGACCGGAACCGGAACCGTTAGAACCAGAATATATAGAACTGGTTCCGGTTCCGGGTTTAAAAATTGGCTTTATCCGGGTTACGGGTAATCCGGGTTTGGGTCCATCGGGTCCGGGTAAACCGGGTCTAAAAACCGGAACCACTCTTAGGGTCGAAACCAGTTTTTGTGAAACGCTTAAAAGATGCATATCTCATTCATTTCAACTCCGATTGACATACAGTTTTTTCCAACGTGTAGTTTAGAGTTTGTACATGATTTTGGATTATAAATTTGCCGTTTTTAGTTTTATATTCATTGACTTACAGTCCTCTAAAGTCGAGATATCAAAGCTGAAAGTTTTTAGTTTTTCATTTTTTTTGTATTTTGTGAATGTTTTAAAACATGCATATCTAATTCGTTTGAAGTCGGATTGACATGTGGTTTTTTCCAACTTGTAGTTTATAGTTTGTACATGAGTTTAGACTATAATTTTGTCATTTTTGGTTTAATATTCAATGATTTACAGTCCCCCGAAGTCGAGATATCAAAACTGAAAATTTTCAACTTTTCAGCTATTTGTTTTTGTACTTTGTATTCTGTGAAAATGTTAACACATGCATATTTCATTCGTTTACAGTCGAATTGACATGTGGTTTTTTCCAGAGTGTAGTTTAGAGTTTGTACATGATTTTAGACTATAATTTTCTCAATTTTGGTTTCATATTCAATGAGTTACAGTCCCCCAAAGTCGGGATATCAATATGAAAATTTTCAAAGTTCAACCCACTAAGTAGTAAGTAATTACCAAAACATTCCGGTTTTTCCGGTTCTAAACCCACTTTATCCGGTTCAAACCTACCCACTTTGATGTTTCCGGGTTTTCCGTTTCTAGACCCACTTTACCCGGTACCGTACCTGGAACCGAACCGGAACCGGTTCCTATATACCGGTCCGGTTTCCGGTTCAACAAAATCCCGTTAACCGGTTCCGGGTTTTCCGGGTCCGGGTCCATCCGGTCCGGGTTTGGACCCACTTTCATCCCTAATACACAAGAAAAATGTTACAGGTTGCATGGTTTTCCACCAGGTTTTAAGTTCACAAATGGGAACAATTTAAGAGTCAATTCCGTTTCAGCTGATCAATTGACTAACAATTCAGTTTCTGAATTTGCTGATGTTGTAACTGGACTTACTGATGAACAGTGTAAACAATTCATAGCCATGTTTTCAGGGAAATTAGCTTCTTCCAATGGTGTCTCCATACAAGATTTCAAAGCAAGTACTCATTACATTCTGAACTCCACATCTGGAAATTATAAATCCAATTTTTGGATCATAGATTCAGGAGCTACCAGGCACATATGTAATGATGAAAATCTTTTTATCAACACCCAAAAGGTTTTTAATACTCGGGTCAAATTGCCCAATCAAATGCTTATTGAAGTGCATTTAATGGGTAATTTGCAATTGAATGATAACCTAATTCTCAAAGATGTTCTTTATGTTCCCCAATTTGAGTTAAATCTCATTTCTGTCACATCATTAACCAAGGACGAAAATGTCATGGTTGCCCTTTATTATGATTATGCCATTATACAGCAGATGAGCAACAAGATGATGATTGGCAAGGGTAGTGTGAATGCAGGATTGTATCTGTTGGATCAAGAGTTGTAGATTGGTTCCATCAACAATGTTTCTATACAACAATGGCATCAAAGATTTGGGCATCCTTCAAATAAGAAACTTATGTGTCTTAGCAATGCGTTGTCCCTAAATAAGAAGATAGATAAACATGTTTGTTTGATTTGTCCATTAGCAAAGCAGAAACGATCTCCTTTTGTTTATAAAAACAATATTGCAAGTAAATCATTTGATCTAATTCATTGTGACATCTGGGGACCTTATCACATTGATTCATATCAGGGACATAGGTATTTTGTTACCATAGTTGATGATCATTCAAGATTCACATGGATCTATTTGATTAAACATAAATCAGAGGTCCAAAATATTATACCCAAGTTCTTTGCAATGATGTATGATTAAATATTAATTAAATAAAATAATTGTTATTTTATGTTATCTTTTTTGTGTCGTGTCGTGTTTGTCGTTTTTTAGTTCGTTCGTTTCATGTTAATTTAAAAAAACACGACATCGTGTCGTGTTGTGTTCGTGTTACATAAAATTTTGTCATGTCGTGTTGTGTTAGACAAAACCACGACACAACTGCCTGGTTGCCACCTCTATTCCATTATACTCCACCGCCGACATCCTTTTTCTGATCACGTCAACCTCCACGACCATCACCATTACCACTACCGTCAAAATCCAAGTCAAAGTCACATTAAAAGCGTTCTAAAAGACCAAATGGCTTCTAGCCCAACTGTATCAGGTGTCCCTTATTACCGGTCGAGGATTCAAATCCCGTCTGAGACATAAATGAAATTAGGAGTAATGTATGGGTAAGTTATATTTGTCGTTCAAAAATAGGCGTCCTCAAAGGCTGTATATGTATTTAAACACACAAATTAGGAATTATTAATCGTAGTTCACAAGCCTTTGTTTAAATTGTGTAACTGAAAATCAATTTTAGGTTAAGAAGTATTGTGTCAAAATTGTATCCGGTAGTAATATGCGTTGGCCTTTGAGTTGTGTACACTCCGGATAACCTAATCATCGAGCTTTTCAATGTGCTTTGAAAATGAGCTGTTTTTAACGGACTAAGTATAATCCAATTATCCAAGTCCAATAAACCAGTTCAAATGGTTTTTATATCGATTCAACCCGCGTTTTGAAGAAATCGTCTAACTCGATTCGGTCTGGAAATTGACAAAAAATCAATTGTTATTGAACCGTTCTCGTCTCCGACTCCCGAACGTCGGTTCAAACGATTTTTAAAACATTGAATTTCACATATAATCATCATATAGGCAACCAAATACTCTAAACGACATTTATCTTCCAAATACAAAAACAAAATAACTTTGTGATAAGTTTAATCAGTTGTAGTAGAGTAGACACAATATAAAAAGTTCCACATAATTATCTACAACAATAACACTACAACAAAAGGGGATCCACTACTCAACATTTCAAAGCAAGAGACCGATAATGACTACCACCATTTGAACACCGTTGCCTCGGCAACCGCCGTGTCCTCCTCCCCCACCCGCCAAGACTCTTCTCCAACGCCAACTCCCTACACTGCTCCGGTGGCGGCTGTGGGCGGCACAAGGGTTCTGCCGCCATCGACCGCCGCCTCCCTCTTCCACTCCTACCACCACCTTTCCTTTTCGATAAACTAGACTGCCAAAAAACACCCGTCCCAGAAAACGCGTCTTCAAATATCTGAAGATCTTCTGTAACTTCACGCCTCGATAAAGAAACAATATTTGGTAAAATATCTTTCTGAAAATCTTTCTTTTGTTTCCCCCTTTTTCCTTGTCCTTTTCGAGGTGTTCTTTTTAGCGACAAACTATTGTTTTCCTCTTCTTTTTTGTCTTCCATGATCACCGGTTTATAAAAATCATCATGATTTTCTTTCGAATCTTGAAGTTTTAATGTCATGTACTCGAAGTAATCCATTTCCTCACTCTTTTCAACAAAATTTTTCTCCAATTCCAAATCGTTCGTAATCACATCTGCAAACCACATCAAACTTTCTACCGGTTTTTCAGGATTTTCAGGCGGGTTAAAAGTTGAAATTGATATGATTGCTTCTGCTGCGATGTTCACAAGCTCCAGATCGGAATCCATGGCGGAAGGGTTTTCCGGCGAATTATGTGCCGGAGCTTCCGGCGAAGGTGGTGTTTCCGGCGCCGGAGGTGGAGCATCTTCTTCATCAAGAGACATGTTTAAATCAATATCATGTTTAACGTTCGATTCAAGTTTCGTGTCAATAATCGGGACACCAAGAATCATGGTAATTGTCCGGGAATCATCGAGTTTTACTTTCTTGAATTCGCGTGTTTCATGATCATCTGATGCCACGTCAGCTTTGTTGAAGAACTGGTGAGAATGATTCTGTAATGAATTCAAGTTGATATGATGAACGGTTGATTCTTTTCCTTTGGTCATCCAAAGGGGGAGCGATTGTTCATGTTTATTACGGTTTTGCCACTCTGAGTTTGTCATCGATCTTGAATTGCCTGAATCGAAGGACCCGAGCCAATGGATTTTGATGAACAGAGTTGATTTCGACACCAAATAACGTTTTTTTGGCAGATGAAATGCATTCAATAATCGGTTTGTTTAAATCGGCCAAATTAAACGGGTTTTTTTGGGTCAAATTTTGAAAAATTCCTATTTGTTGCTCATCAGCAGACGGTTGTAAATCAATCACTCGTCTTTCAGGAACACCGAGACTTTTCCCATTTCTAGAATTGAAAGGTCTAAAAGTCGAGCCCAAATGAGGAAAACTTGAGGCAAAAATACGTGTTTCTTTGGTTAGATTCATCAAATCTTGTTGTCTTTTGTACAGGCGATGAAGTTCTTGGAGCTGAAATGCAATAAAAAAAAAACAATAAATTTAAACATGGGTAAGTTCAAGAACATTATAAGACTCGTGGGTTTAAGAGAAAAGATGCTAAATTCTGAGCAAGATGATGAAATGCATAATAATGGTGAAAGTCAAGAAATTTAAACATGGGTATATTGACTATATTCAAGAACATTAGAAAGCTTGTTGCTTTAAGAGAAAAGATGCTAAAGTTGAGGAAGATAATGGCGAAAAAACACAATTTATAAATGGGTATGTTCAAGAACACTAAAATTTCATGGGTTTAAGAGAAAGGATGCTAATTTTGAGCAAGATGATGAAATACATATAAATGGTGAAAAAAAAAGAAATTTAAACATGGGTATATTCAAGAACATTAGAAAGCTTGTTGCTTTAAGAGAACAAATGCTAAAATCTGAGCGAGATAGATTAAATGCATTAATGGTGAAAAAACACGAAATTTAAACATGGATATGTTCAAGAACACTAAATTTTTTGTGGGTTTAAGTGAAAAGATGCTAAATTTTGAGAAAGATAGATGAAATGCAAAATAATGGTGAAAAAAAAACAAGAACTTTAAACATGGGTACATTCAATAACATAAGAAAGCTTGTTGCTTTAAGAGAAAAGATGCTAAATTTCGAGAAAGATAGATGAAATACAAAATAATGGTGAAAAAACAAGAACTTTAAACATGGGTACATTCAAGAACATAAGAAAGCTTGTTGCTTTAAGAAAAAAAGATGCTAAATTTTGAGCAAGATAGTAGATGAAATGCAAGATATTGGTGAAAAAACACAAAATTTAAACATGGGTATGTTCAAGAACATTAAAAAACTTGTGGGTTTAAAAGAAAAAGATTTAGAAAATTGAGTATGATAGACTCAAAATCAGACCTGATGTTTGAAGATTGATTCATGCTTCAAGATAGTTTGCCTAATCTGTTCTTTAGCGTATCCATCTATGGTTTGTGTTGTTAGAAAGTAGTTATAATGGTGACTGTTTGTGGGGCCAGAGATCTTGTGAGTTTTGTCATCGTGATATGGATTCCAAATATCATTATGAAAACCATTGTTGAGATCTATCATTGAACTTGGGAAATATGTCTTGGATTCTACTTTGGCTCCCATTTCTTCTGCAATTAGATCAAGAACAAACCGATTTGTAAATTAACCTTCTTCTCTTTTGTGAAAATGGTAAAAGAATACTATAATCAATTTGAGACAAACTTTAAGCATCATCTTTGCAAAAAGATCAAGTACATAGCATTTTCAACCACCATTTGTGAAAAAAAGTAAAAGAAAGTAATGCAAATGAGCAATTTTGTTTATTACAAAACATATTGAGTATGATGATTCCTTTTCCTTATGCAAACTACAGCGTACTTTTGACATTTTAACAAAAAATATTCTTGGCTTGTTACAGTGGAAAATCAAGTGATACAAATTGGAGAACTGAGGAACACACACGAACACCAATGAAAACAGTAGTTTAAAAAATCAACTATAAGCATTCAACAAGGCTAATAGAAACCTAAATCGGATCAAAGACAGATTTCATATACAGTTAATTCAATCGTAAAACAGTAAGAATCAATCAATACATAAAAAAGTAATTAGGAGATTAGAGAAGAATCTACCTCGTACTTTTTGTATTTGGGTCTCTGGTAAATCGTAAGAATTCTGAACTCGAAGAATCGATTTTCGTCAGAATTTCCAAAATTGGAAGAAAAAAATCAAACAACTCCGACAATCGAGCTTTCTCGTGAGTTCCATGAAACTAAACAGCCATGAAAAAGATAAAAAAGAAGAAATCTCCGATCGGCTGGGCCACTTTTTTCTGATCAACAGATACGGAAACAAGATAGAGAGAGGAAGAGATCCCAGATAAGAAAGATAGATCCCTATCTTCGCTCTTTCTCTCTCAAAATCTGTTTGGGTTTCTCTCTCTAGAAATTAAGAAGCCATCGGAAGAAGACTGACTTGAAGTTTGTCAATCTGTCGTCTTCTTTGATATTTAATGGCACGTATATTGTTGTGATTCGATCACTCATTGATTTTCCCATTTGGCAAATGTAATCTAGAAAAAGAATTTGGGAATTGGGTCTGGGGTTTTGGGCAAAAGTAGATTTATTTAGATAATCTATAATATATATATAGAGAGAGAGAAAGATACATATGTATGTATCTCTCTCTACATGTCACCTATCATTCATTAGTTTTAGATTCCTTCGCCACATCTTTTATGTTTTTTAGTGTGAAGAAGAATTTATTGACGTTTAGTATTTTTAATTGATATTTTCTTCATATGTTGTTGTCCAAAAGAATTAAATTATACGCTACAGATATCATTTGAAAAAATTGTAAAAATGGCCCTTATAATTACTCAAAAAATTGTCATTTAAGTCCAAAATATTTTGGAGTGACACTATCATAAACCTGTTTTTTATTGTGATTTGAATTTGCTTGAAAAAACTCTATTACCTTTGTTATTTTCTTTTTCTATTTTTTAAATATTTTATTTAAAAAAGAAAAAAACAAAAAAAATCACCCCCTTCTTTATTCCAAAACTTCGGTTGCTGGAAAATTCACCTAGCTCCGACGAACACACACACTCTCTCTCTCTCTCTCAAAATCTGATATAAAATAACACAAATATAAACCTGATTCATCGCAAACACATACACCGATGAACCCAGATGATTAAACACATGAGATTGAACCAAATTAATACATCTCTCCCCCCCCCCTCTCTCTTTCTCATTATATATATATATATATATATATATATATATATATATATATATATATATATATATATATATATATATATTCTCTCTCTCTATCCCTCTCTCTCTCTCTCCCATGATTCTTTAAACACAATAACATGTTCAAGATCTCATTCGTACAAAACCCATAAAGTCAATATGTGACATCCCCTATTTTTCAGAACCAATTAAAACATTTTCTTTACGCTTTATAAAATTGAGATTCAAAAAATTCCTAGATAAACAAAACATTTTTGAGATAACCAAAAATTATTTCATTTATTTAAAACCTTGAGGATGTCATCGTTCATATCCAAACATATATTACAGTGTATTTATATTAAAAGGTCATGAAACTACTTATTACAGGCATATCTCTTTATTCCACTCAGCATCCTAACTAGACCTCGACAACCTTACATTCGCTACATATGATGCATAAAATGAGTGGGTCAAGTTTGGGAAAACCTGGTGAGATGCATTAGGTTTTCAAGCCCATAATAATTTAATGATAATAAATAATATTATTCCTGCAAACAACGATGTCAAATCTATATATATATATATATATATATATATATATATATATATATATATATATATATATATATATATATATATATATATATATATGACCTAAGATCAACTACCCAACCCAACCGACCGTCATAGATCCTAAAGCAACGATTCTATGGAGGAACCACCCAACGTGATGAATCATTTGAGTAACTATTTGACTACACAGCTAAAGGTGTCCTTGGCCAATGTAACTCATATAAACGCAATTAATGTTCAGAGATTTGATAAATATGGTATCCCATTTTATTTACGTCCATGGATTATAAGTCCATGCTAGGATCGTAATTCACTAGACTACTTTAGTCAAGTGTTGTCATCTACTCTGGTCGATGACCTAGACATACTTGCTAGTTGTCTTATCTGGACCCACCATTTCTGGTCATCCAAGAAAGATGAGGAATATGAAACTACACTATCTGGTCTCACACTCTACCCCATAATAAGATCTATCTAATTTCCAACTTATTGGGAACTAAATACCTTTTACATGTCCTAATTTAACTAATCCGGACTTATGCAAAACGGCAATATATGTCAAATATGGTTCCTAATCCAATAGTATTATCATATTTATACAAGTAGCACACAATACATATAATACAAATAAACACTTAATGTTGCTTATAGATAATACTTTTGATTTAATATTATGTTCTTGATAGTAACTACACACTCACCTGATAAAAGTGTATGCCGATAGGTGAATCGGGTAGAGCTTCCCCTTACACCTTTTCCAAAAGACCTAGATGTAAATAATGATAAGTCTTAGTCTAATTTCATACTTCATGGAACCATTATCCTAAGGGTTTCAGATTCCTCAACAATCCCAATGTCTACTTCAAGACCTATCAAGTAAGGATCAACCAGGCAGGACATTCCGGAGGTAGGAACATTTCGGCATATAGCCTTTCTAAAATCAAACATCCAAGCCAACGTGACCATTCTAGGCACCTTTCCTGTAAGTAGATCAATCAGTATAACAACTTGTGATCATTGGTAAATGTAACGTCCCAAAATATGACCCAAAAATTTCCTTTTTAATTTAGATAAAACAGTATTCCAAAATCATCATTAATACAATCAGAGTGAAAATAAGTGTATCAAACATCATATCAATCAGAGTATATCACAAAAGCGGAACTACACGGTGTGTGCGATGCAGCCATCCCGAGCTCTTCCCTCTAGAACTAGAAGTACCTGAAACATAAACTGAAAACCATAAGCACAAAACTTAGGAGTTCCCCAAACTACCTCATACCATACATAATAAATCACATACTGGGCCCCCGTCCTACATTGAGCCCCTCCCTCCATCAAGCCCCACTCGGTATACAAATTTGTTTTTGCTTGGCATCAAGCCCCGTTCGGTATACAAATTTGTTATTCTTAGCCCCTCCTGATATCATTCCCCACCCACTATACACATACAATATATATCACATAATCATGCTAACACATACAATGATCATAACACAGTATCATACGATTCGATCATCGGGCCTCGGCTCGCATCGAGCCCCGCTCGATATACATAGCAGCACATAACACATGAAAGGGTCATGCAATGTGACAACTGGAAGTTCTGGCTCAATCAAAGTCAACAAGTCAGCAAAAATCAAACAAGTCAATGAAGGTTAAGTGATTAGGACCCAAAGCATTATGATTTCGGTTGGTACCTGGACCGAAATCACTAGGTGATCTCGGTGGTACCATGACCAAAATCACTAGGTGATCTCGGTGGTGCCATGACCGAAATCACTTGGTGATCTTGGTGGTACCATGACCGAAATCACTTGGTAATCTCGGTGGTGCTAGGCCGAAATCACCATGTGATTTCAGTGGTGCTGCAACGTGATTGGTGGATCTTTTCTGTGACATCCCCATTTTCATGACCAGAAAAGACCGATTTTGTTTATGCTTTATAAAAATCAGAGTACCTCTTTTAATAAAAATGTTGCGGAATTTGTTCCCAGAAAAACATGATAAATACGTTATCAAAGCATTTCCGAAGAAATGTATTTTTATTCATTTTCAAAACATTTGGGATGTCATCGTCAATACAGAAACATAAGCATAAACAGAACTTACATTCATTTACACTAGTGATTTACATCTCTTTTAAATCTCTCAGTGTAAAGTAGCTTCATATCGACACCTGTGATAGAAATAAGATAGAGTGGGTCAGGTTGGGAAACCTGGTGAGTACATAGGGTTTTCAACCCACAATAATATAATTATTATGTTTAATCATCAAAAAATTAACCCAATTACCCATCCCCATTATCTTCTTTACTCTTAAGGATTTACCCTGAGAATTAGCTATTCCTCGTTCATTCTCTTTTAAGGATTATCCTAAGGAATAGGCACGAAATCCATCGTTGCTAGGATTTACTAAATAGGCACTAAATCCATAGTTGCCAGGGTTTGCTCATCAGGCACTAAATCCATAGTTGCAGGGTTATCTCATTTATCGACAGTATCGTTTCCGAGAATCCACTCGCAATACATGTCAATGGGTTTTTATCTCGTTTATCGACAGTATCGTTTCCGAGAATCCACTCGCAATACATGGCAATGGGTTTTTAGAGTACAGATAGTGAATACACAGTTCAAATAACACCTACAGGTTGCGAGTACAGATTGAGCCAACACTTGGGTAAAAGGCTTCTCTCATGGTTCACCTCTCACCTTTTATCTCATGGTCTATATCACCTCTCATCATTTTATTTTTTTTGTCATACAACAACTATTTCATCTACCCATGTTTTACCCAACACATTTTGTAGATATAAAATACATATACAGTTTAAATCATTTAAAACATGTATAAAAATCTTTCACTCAGCATAGACGGAAAGTATACAGACAATAGGCACACACAACATGTAATTTATATTAAATACTTCATATCTATGTGTAAGATGAAAGTAACTATGCACTCACTTGATAAGGTGGTGACTCGGTACTCGAGCAGGGCTTCGTTATCTCAAAACAATTTTTCCCTTGACAAAACCTAGTATCAATACCACTAGGGTTTAGTCTAATGTTAACCGCGACTAATTAATAGTCTAGCTATTATTACTATTATATAAGTGTTAAACAACACTCTATATAACTCATAATAATAGCCCAAATAATTATTTTAAGGTCTTAATAATATTACTATATTGAAACATAAGTTATACTAAAGATAGGGTAGGCATAGCTCACTTACAGCGGGTTTTTTTCTCAAAACCGGGCTTCGCTTGGAGCAGTGTTTCCAAGCCGAAAGGCTCTTTTCTCGGAGCCGTCGGGTGCTCCAGGGCTTCCACCTCGTGCTAGGGAGTTACCCTAGGCTTTGGGGGGTTTTGGGGCTTAGAGAGATGTTCTAGAGAGAGAAAGAAGGGATTGAAGGGGTGAGGAATGAGCTTCACCCAGCACCTCTATTTATAGGCTTCCTGGGACATCACCACGTCGTGGTGCCACTCACCACGTCGTGGTGTTGCGTAGGCTCCAAGGTTTCGCCTGGTGCTGACACGTGGCATCGCACACAGGGTGGAAATCAGCCGATTTTCAAAAATTCATAACTTTCGCATACGAGCTCCGTTTTCGACGTTCTTTATATCCACACGTAGGTAAAAACAAGATCTACAACTTTCATTTAGACTTCGTCGGCTAATTCTCGAACGATCTTAAATTTAAAAGTACGAGGAGATTATACTGTTAAATGTCCGCGTAAAATTCATAACTTCTTCATACGGAATCCGTTTTCGTCTGTCTTTTTACCGTTGAGTTCCTATTAATGAGAT